GTGCGAGGGAGAAGATGGCGGCGGCGGGGGCGGCGGCGTGAGGGGCCGGGACCGCCGAGCTCCGCGGGGGACGCGGGGCCGCCATGGCCCTGCACGGCGCGCAGGTACCGCCCGCACCCGCGCTCTGCGCCCCCGCCGCACCGCGCCCGGACCTCGCGGGGGCTCCCGGCGGCGGGCGGGCCCCGGGGTGGGGGGGAGCATGGTGGCCGGGAGTAGGCCCAGGGTGATTGTGCACGTTCATTGAATGTGCGGAGCGCGGTGGGGCCGCCTCGCTGCCCGCGGGGGCGGCGGATCCGGTGTTCCCCCCGGCGGAATTCCCACCCCGGAGGGGTCCGGAGGGCTAGGGGGCGGCCCCGCGCCCGTGTCGGAGTCACCACGCCGGGGTTCGAGGAGGGGGGGGGGGGTCGGTGCTGAGCCCCCGCCGGGGGGTGGCTGGGACAGAGCCCATGGCTGCGGGTTCGCTTTTTTATTTGGGGTAGGGGGGGAGAGACAGAAGCGATTCTATAACGAGAAGGGAATAAGGAGATTTGTAAAGTAATCCTCCCCCCTCCCCCCCGCCCAAACACTCGCTAAACCCCGGCGCATCGGGGTGCAAAGGGCTGAGTGTTGCAAGATCGCCGTGCACGGGGATGCGTGTGCGGATTCCCTGGATCCCACTGGCTGAACCGGCCGGGAGATTTGTGCACGGAGTGGGGAAAAAAAAACTGCAGCCGTGGTGGTTTTCTCGCTGGAAGTTTACAGCTCGGTTCCCGGGCTAATCCAGTGTGTGCTTAGGGCAAATGATTGAATGGGTTCACTTCGCTCGCTCTTTTTCCCTCTAAGGTTTTTTTGTCCCAAAAAGGTTTAAAGCAGAAATGTCAGGAAAAACGTGTGCAGCGCTGAGGTGTTTATTTGCAAGACTTCGTGCGACTTTGCATTTAGCAAATAATAAAGTTTAGAAAACTTCGGTGCCGTTAAAGATAATTTTGTTAAGAATCCGTGTCTTTCATAACAGAAAACATAGTTCATAAAATATAAGTTCTTTCGAAGAAGGTGATGCTTTATGCTGAATTTTGTATTTTCTGAAGGCAGTTAATGTACACATCAAATGAAGTTGTGCACTGGTAGCACTGATAGGGATTCTTCCATAAACAAAAGTTTGTAATGGGTGAAAACTATATTGACATTTGTTGTCCACCTTCATTTATTTATATTTGAGAGCAAGAGGGGAGTGATTTTGTTTATGTATCTGTTCTGAGGGTTGTTGCAATTTCTGGAGTTTGTTTAAAATTTGAAATTGATTGAAAATTTGGCATCCTTCAAGTTTTCTTTCTTTTCCTTTTCAAGTGGAGGAAACTCACTTTTTTGGACTTTTTTTAACTGTCCTGATGACTGATAATTACGATCAGGTTTATCAGAATGATTGAATGCCCAACTCAGGGGTTATTTCACACCTTACTTTCCTCTCCCCTCAGCAGTGCATGTGGTCTCTTTGATAGGTTTGGGTTTTACATTGAAACTTTTTTCTTGATTTAGAAGAATTAAGGACATTTTTCTGTCTGTACTCAATTACGTTGGTGGACCTTGAAACAAAAACACGTGAAGCTGATAATTTAGTTGACAGTGAAGTACTGCAGAGCTGAAATTAAAACTAGACTGTAAATTCATCTTTAGTACTAACTTGAACATTTACTGTTTTAAATCAACTCCTTCTGTAGGTTAATGCAGATATTTGGGTCTCCTGAGGATTGCTGTGTAAATTTATATAAAATTTGGAAGCATATCTGTAAGATATCTTTTAGCTGGTGCTTTGTTCATGTCATTAAGCAGCCTATTTTTGTGGGGTTTTTTTTGTTTCCAAATTTAAACAGTTTATTTAGGTGCTGTCTAGGATTTACGTGAATAATTCCAGAACAATATGGTGCTGTAATACTGGATTAAGGTAACAATATTTTGGACTCTTTTGGTTGAAAAGCCTGAAGAGAAGTTCAGGGATGCAGTTTCACGTGTGGGATTTTTCCTCTTTATTTTAGACCGGTGCTGTTGCAGCTCAGTAGGCAAAATAAGAGTTTTGCTAAAAGTTGTCTGTTGTGAGCACAAGATAAATGACATTATTGAGTCACCGTGTTGGTGTCGTGATGCAGAGTGCTGGGCAAAAGCGTGTCGTTTTTCCATATCGCTGTAATTCAGGTGTTCGATAATTGAGATATTTTTTGTAACACACAGAGGAAAAGGCCCTCAAGAAAATGCTGCTGCTCTTACAGCTCAGACGCACGGTCAGATTCCTGCCGACGGACGGATCACGTACGAGGGGGCAGAAACGTTTCCTCAGTCAGTTCACACGTCGGGACAAACGAATCACGAAATGCTCAGATCAGATATTTCCAAAGGGGGATTAATTTGGGATGATCAGCTCGTCAGCAAGCACAGGAGTGAAGGGTGACACGGTTTAGGTGTTGCTGGTCGTTCGTGCCTCTGTGTTCAGCGTCATTATTTCATAATCATTTAATGAGATATTTAAGTGTCGCTGTCATTCTTTCGGGTGTGTGCTGGCTAAATTCAAAATCTGCCCTTGTTTTAGTGTGAGCTAGAAGTAAACCTGCTGTATCACTACATGACACCGAAGATGTTAAGCTGATCTAGTTAAAACCGTTTGTCATCAAGGGCGTCTAAAAATCTCTTTAAAAAAAAAAAAAGGGCAGCTTAAAAACTATTTCCCTGTTTGGAAAGAGTAAAACTGTCAGAACTGTGTAAACTGTTGTTTTAGTCCCTTTTTCTGTTGTTTTTCATGGAAAGAATTAATACAGGCGCATCATTTATGAATTCCTGTGAAAACAAGTTAAGCAGAAGAAAGGATACCATGGCAGAATGAATCATTTATGCTTGTTTTGTTCTTTCGCCATCACCGTGGTGTCAAATGAACGCGGTGCCATTTTAAATGTACTGCATTGCCCCCAGACCTGGCTGAAGTGAGAACCAGGCGGGTTTGAGCTCAGGAAAAAAAAGCTGAACAGGCTCCTGAGCTGCTCATCCTCACCCAGGATGTGTCTGGCCTGGCAACCAGAAGAACTGGAACTCGGAACGTGGCCTGCAACCCGACTCCCTGAAACACTGCACTGCAAACGGCCTCTTTTATGGCCGGCTTGGAGGGTTGCTCCCTGGCAGGGTGTAGTTTGATGTTCCCTTAAGCCAGGGCTGTTTCTAGAAGAAGAAAAAAAAACGGCAACATTCTGCAGGCATTTGTGCTGCGCTGCCTTTGCAGTGCATTGCCTGATGTTTGTGGTGATTAGGAAATCGATGTCTCTAAAGTAGTGTTAAAAACTGGTCGTTCTGCACCTGGGTGAGTTTCTTGGACACATGTGGGTGATGTTGGAGTGTCCTTGCAGGCAGAAGGAAGCATGTGGGGAGAGGGCAGTGTAAATTCTGTCAGGTGTGTGAAAATATGGGGGACACCCTGAACACAGAATAAAGGATGGCTCTGGAAAAGGGCTGCTGTGGGTGGATTCAGGGAGAGGTGTTCGGGTGCATCCTCTTGCTGCAGCTGCTGCTCAGTTGCTGTCCTGTGTTTTAAAGGGATGAAGAAGCTGGATTTGTCTCCCCCTCTTTTTTTGAGCCCTGCTCTCACTGCTTAGAAGGATCTGGGTTCATCCTTTTGCCCGTGGAGTGAGTAGTTATTGAGGGATTCTGTGATCTGGGGAATTCAGGCTGCAGCTGAAGCTGAGAGTTTCGGTAGCCAGGAGGTATCATTTGCCTTTCTAAAATGTGAATGGTGAAACCACGCAGAGTAAAGTTGGGTGAATGTGGGTTGCTTGACTTAAAAAAAGAAAGTCTGGGAAAACTGACATAGAACTTAAATTTGGAACTATATGGAAGCATGCAAATAGACTAAAACCCACAGGTTTTGTGAATCACTGCTATTTATTCTGTGCATTCTAGCCTATAGCACTGATCTGGAGATGGTTTAGAATGGATCCAGCCATCTACCTATTAATAAATCCAGTTTTTGGAGGCAGTTGCTTAAGACACACTGCTTTTTCCATCCATGTAGCTGCTTAAAACACTTGTAAAGTTAAGTGGGGTTTTGTTTATAGGTAAACTGAGCGTTTTCATTTCTGTTTAGTGGTCGACACACAACATGCTGTGTCGTACAAAACCAGCCCAATCTGTTGTAATAGAAGTTGCTGGCCTTGGGCCATTGGATTATAGTCATTTGTCACTCTAATGCCATTTCAGCAATGTAGATGTTCATTTCCAAAGAATTAAACATGCTGGAACTGCGGTTTTTCTGTTTGATGGAAGTGTTTTATGTGTGATCATTAAACATACAACTGGGGATTAGGGAACAAAGGGTTATGCTTCCTGGTGAAAAAGTGTGTGTGTGTGTACATGTGTGTGTGTGTGTGTAAGGACATTCCATCATGGAATGGTCTGATGTCTTAAAATTAGGGTTCTGAACCCTAATTTTATTTTATGAAATTTTAGCATATGCTTTTGAGACTGTTTTTAAGTATTCTAAATAATGAGGCTGTGTTGGTTATTTTTAAAACACTTTAAAGGATTCTGTTGGGTTAGTGCTCATGTTAATATATTCATTAATGTTTTAATAGAGTAAAACTTTGATGTGCATTAGTCTTTTCATTTTGTATTTGACTCTCTAATACCTCATTTATTTGCAGATGTTCTTGATATTTTAAATACGTGTAAGAACTTTTCCTCCTTGTTTGACAGCACATGATTTATTGATCTTTGGTGTGTGCCACAAGGTCTGTTTTTCTTCACCTGCAGTCAGGCAGGAGGTAGCTTAAATCACAGTAGCCCTACCAAAGTGTTGGTGTAAGGCTTATTTAAATCATAGACCTTTTGAAAAAGCGTGTGAGCTTAAAATTAAGAAAGGCCTCGTTGATATTCTGTGGTAGTCACAAATGTTAGTGCTGTAGGAAAAAAACGGGCAGGAGTGTTTGGGGAATTTTGCTTCTTACAGGGTTGTGTGTGAATCCATGTCCTGTATGGAAGCTTTGAAAGCAGCATCAAATGTTGTTTGCGTTGGAATTGTAGTAGGAAAGAAAGGGATCTAAATCAGTTTCATTGAGGGTGATGTTAACACAAACTGGAAAATCACCTCAGG